GCAACAATACTACAGCAAGAATAAAAGTTACGCCTTCTTTCTTTGCGTGAATATTTGGGCGGCGTTATGCAAATCTTCCCACACAGTGACGTAGACATGTGGGGGCGTGTCAGAAAGAGCCGTTTTAGGTAGGTGTGGCTGAATCTTAACTTTTATAAAGAATATCTCTTTGGATTTGAAACTTTAGTCTTTGCAACTTTACAGATCTTCTTTATGCACCAAGACCAACACTCCAAAGAGAAAGGAAAAATTTAAATCACATCATATGACCCCTTTAAAAACTGCAGCATGCAAATATTCTGCCATGATACGGATTTTAGGATAAGCAGTCAAGTTGTGTTATTGTTGTGATGCTGTGCTGGCAGTTTGCTCAAATGCCAAAAAACACAAAGACACAATCAAGTGTACATTAATTGCATGTAAAGTTGTGTTTCTGCTTCGTTTGACTCTGAACATTACATTCTGTTTCATAACCTACTGAGCTACACAGCATTCACGCAGAACGTTGTTTTATCAGCATTCCAGGCATGAGCTTTCCGAATATCTGAATCAACTGAACCATTTGCTACATAAAATCATGTTTCTCCTTTTTGTATTATACACGCACAAAGATTTTAATTTATTGAATTAGTTAAGAAATTTACCTACATACAGTGGCGAACTTTCAGAATTTTGAAACGGTTCGAAGCTTAAAAGGGTGATACAAACTTTATACAATGACTGTAATAGTGCAGTTAAACTCCCATGGGGAACAACTCATCGATTTAGTATTTCTCGAGGCATAAAATGGGGAGACCCGGCGGCTCCCTTTTTATTTCTTTTAGTTATGCAAACGATGGCTTTACATTTGCATAATGATTCTTTTCAAGGCATCAGAATTAGGGACAGAGAAATTAAATGCTGTCAGCTTGCTGATGATACAGCTATCTTTTTGAAAGATATATCACAAGTTAAGAAAACTATAGAGTGCCTTAATATATTTTCTGAAGTGTCAGGTTTATTTTTAAACATGAAAAAATGTACCCTTTTTCCACTTAAAGAGAATGGTATTCCTTTTACCCAATTTGAAGGTATTCCAATT